TTTAAATGTTATATTTTTCGGTATAATCTTAACATTCTATTCAATAATTATATTAGCTTACATTAAAACTGAAAACTACTTTTTAATAAATTAAATAATTAATAATAAGCTTAATATTTTAAAAATAAAAATATTAAACTAAAAGTTGCTGCACTTCTCACATTGAAGACATTTTGCCTCTATATGAGCTGGAAGAGTTAGATCTGGCACAATTTGCACTACATAAAATGTCAAGATCTCCACTTCCAACTCAAACAGGTGCAATCCTTCATAAAACAGAATAAGTCATTACTTCATAAATTTCAATTCTGAATTAACACCATATAGTTCCAAATATTTTTGCTCACAGGTATAATGTGAAGCTTCAATAAAATTATCTTCTCCTTTTACACTACACTTATAGCTTGTAATCTTCCATATCTGTAATGACAACAGGTGGGTTGAATATATATATGTGTGTGTACACACACACTCCCATCAACTGGACAACTCCATTTTCAGCGTGAGGTTACGATGCAATCAATGTGAGAATGTACAACAACAGTTTTGTTATAGAGTTACAAATTTTTATAAATATATAACTTTTTAATTATTACATCTCTCCTATAATATACAAATTTAATATAATGGATTTTCATTTCCATTTATATTTAAGCAAAAAAATTAAAATGTAATGTTTTCCCCCCTCCAACTAATTTTGGATTGCACTTATATCATAAAGTTAGGTAGGCAGAGATAATCAAAGAACGGTTTACTAAATGGGGGCAAAGTTCAGTTTACCTATAAAGTGATATACTTCACCAATATTCAAAAAATAGACAAAATATTTAATATTAAATGAACAAATGTAAAAAATTTTTAAATATTCTGTTATATTTTACATTTTTGTCAATTATTATTTGTGTTTTTCATAAAATATATTTAAAATTGAAAATGTAACATTTTAATATTATGATTTAAATTTTATTACTCACAGACTGAGGAAACTGTTCATAAGTTAATCCATTTAAATGGTTAACACCAGGTGAATTAGGTATAGCAATGCCATTTTGTGGTTCAACCCAACATTCTGTAATTATTTGCAATTCTCCATCTGCTTCAGGAAGTTCAATTTCTATATCTTCATCTTGAGTAGTTGAGGTGTATTTAAATATTTAATAAATATTACTTAAGTAGCTGACATACAGAAAAAAATTGAATTAAATACAATAACGAACACTTAAAAACGATTAATGCTATCCTATTCCAACTTATACTCTATCCCGTTTTATCCCAAAAAAGTAAAATTGAATGATATTTAGGTAATAAATATACTTTCTGTTTATACTTTTTAGATTTTAATTTAAAAATTGTAGCTTTTATAATGACTATTTTAAGCCAAATTGAGAAAGGATATCGATTAGAACAGCTTATAAGGATTTACAATGCCCGTAAAAATCCAGCAATGGATAAAACATGGAGATTAACAAAGTCTTACGCTTTTACATTTTTTTTTTTTTTTTTTTTTTTTACCGTTCCAAACAACTAGCAACTCAAATGAATTAAATGATTTGCTTATCGAAAATGTGAGAATTAGTAATTCCATTTAAATTAATTAGTTTAAACATGTGATCTTTTACGGATTTAATTAAATTATCAACAATACTTTAAAATATTATGCTTCAAGCATCAATAATTGCAGCATCTGTCACATTGCAAAATTGCTGATCATCCTTATATATGTCTCACAATAATCCCCGAAAATTTTCCATCGAATTTATTTCGACATTTAATGAAGTACAAATGATCGAGAGACATAAACTGAGGCGTATCCTGTTGAATGACTTAATTCCTAGCACAAATTTTGGTAGCACCTAGAAGTATAAATGAACTTGGAGCATATTCTAATAGTCAACAAAGTTCATCCTACTATTTATTTCTGCTAAAGGGTTTTGCCTTTTAATCCAAATATTTCTGAACCATTATCGATCCTCCACTTTGCATCCGTTAACTGCAGTTGTGTTCTTCCTTCCGTAGATGCTTTTTTTATCTAGTTAATATACCTGGTGGTTTTTTTAATTGAAAAAAAAACATATGTTGATAATTACTTGTTAATCTTACTTAATGGTTTTATATTATATAATTTGCAACATTTTAAAACTTAAAGTTCAATTCCTTTCTCTTCCTAACCTTGAATCATTCGTGATTAAACAATGGTCGAATACAATAAAGGATATAGATGCAAGGCCAAATCAGTCAGTGATTACTTTAGAGATTAATATAATATTCATTTAATTTTTGTGTATAATTAAATGAAGAATATCCGAATATATTGTGTTCGGTTTTTATTCCAAAAAAAACTCATCGCTTATTCAAATAAATATGCATATTTATTGCAAAAATCTACATAATGTTATTGAAAATCGAATATTCGAAACAATATATATTTTTTATCTATAATGCAATAAATCCATGAAAAAATGCAACATAGTGAATATTTTAAGTCTATATATTATACTTATTATCCCGATGTATAGTGTTCAATGTGATTTTCAACACTATTATTTAAAGCAGTACGACATTAACGAACGACGAAAGGATAGAGGAGCGACAATGGAAAGTATAGGTCTACAATAAGAAACATTATTTAAAGGTCGCTTACAAAAGTCATGTTGAATGCTATCAAATATCTGTAATTCTATTTTAAAATATAAAATAAACTTTAAGATCAAAATCTCATCTCAAGGTTGATATACACGTATAACACGTTTGTTAAGAATTCCCTTATGATATTGACTAAGATTTAGAAATGTGATTGTCTAAGTGTAGTTGCTTGGCAATTTATTCTATTTTAAAATGCATAAAAATACATTTTACTGTTTCTATCCTTGTCTACTTTGAATTATGTTTATTAATAGGACTTAACACGCTGGTATCGTTTTCGTATAGCTATTAGGAGAAAACTTAGTCAGGAAAAATAAAAAATTATAAATTTTCTATCATTTTTCTTGACAATTCTGAAATCTTATATTCCAAAATCGCGATTTCTATGCTTAAATTTAGAAAAATTATAAATCATATTCACGTTTTTCTCATAAAAAAAAACTGCTATTGTAAAAAATCATTATCATTAATCTTCAATAATCTTCGAGTAGATGAAAACCCTGAACACTGGTAATTTTTCGGGAGTTCGTACCTAACCGACTAGCTGCAACATGGAGTTTTCTAACTTTCCTCGCGTGTCTAACACCTAAATAGAAGCCAGTTTCTCATAGAAAGTACTCCCGACAGGCAGATTTAGGCAGATCGCAGTTTAGTATTTTCCAATTAAATAACGAATATTAACGTTTGACGATTATTTTAAAAAATAAATTTGTCTGTTTCAAATATTTAACGGCGAAGAATGGAAGAACGTTTTTATTAATAACATACAACCACATTAAGAAATCAAAATATGTAAATTTAACAACTAAGATATTCACACTATTTCACACATTCATTCACTAAATATTACTCGACTATGATTGATTTATAAATATCAGATTAAAAAATAATGTTTTTTTTGCACAAAATATTTTTAAGTAACGAGATTCACTAATATCATTTTCGTGACAAAAGGCAATTTCATGACAATTTAATTCTATTCCACAGGTATCCATTCGAAAAGGCTGAAGGAGAGCCCATAATACCTCTGATAAACTTAGGAGGAGTGTTTATAGATAAAAATAACTTAGTGAGAGACTTCAAAGCAGTAAGACTCATATATCAAGTAGATATTGGTACGAAATTGAAGAATCAAATTTCGTCCAGATGGGAAAATGAAGTTTTAGCAAAGTTACCGAATTTGAAATTTAAATATATCAAATTTTCTTATTTCGTCGGAGGCACTTTTGACAATGAAGCAAATAAAAACAGTCAGCACTCTTGGTACCTGATTATAATACTCGGTGCTGTTATGGTATGTTTTTCGGCATTGTCTTCGTGTTCTAGAGGTGTCGCTAGCAAACCTTTACTGGGTGTCGCAGCTTGTCTTTCGGCATTTATATCTACAGCTTCTGCCTTTGGATTATTATTGCATTGTGGAATGGAGTACGTCGATATAAATATGGCTATTCCGTTTCTTATGTTAGGTAAGTACAGTACAGCGTAATAGTGAATGTGATATAGTAAATTAGAAAAAGGACCACCAATGGCAAGTCGTAGAGTTAGTCGTCTATCGTCGTGTTTATGATGTCCAGATATTCATTTCTTGTTATTTCGTATATATAATTTCGAATGAATACGAAATTATGAAGATGCTCAAATCAAATTTCATTAGGGTAAAAGTTGATGTCCTATTTTTTGCGTGCATCACGGAGCAGGCTCTGTGGTATATCTTGCGACGGGTATATGTTTCGTTCCACAGAAACAGCGTGACAAATCATGGTTAACTTTAGCCCATTTTATGGAGCGAAATGCCTTTTCGGTCCATAAAATATGTTGAAGGAGTTGTGGTTCGTCATGCTGCAAATTTAACATTACGTTGAACCACTCGCATAGCTGCGCGGAATTTTCTGCAAGTTCTGCCGTTGCATATATTACAGATAGCAGCACAATAGACACGTGTCATGGCGACGTAATATTTGTGATTTTTTCTATGGTCGTAGACTACTCCGCTCAGATAACAATAAGAGGCATTTATGTGTATGTGACTGCTGCAGTCCACAATCTAACCGAACTTAACTAATTCTATCATAACTGACGTGAAATATTTACATGCTTTTCGAAAGTATAAAATTAAAGTTTTAAGAAAATTTTATTAAAGCTTTTTGAAATAATTTTAATTGTTTTTATATTGTCGAAAGTTTAAAATGGTTTCTATATTCTCTAGGTACGGGACAACTTATTAGGAGATTGAAATGAGACTTTTACGCTTCAAATTAATTTTAAATAATAGTTTTTCTTTTCTAAATAAAGTTATTAATTAATTAAATTAATGAATTAATAACTAGAAATTAATTAACATTTTTATAAAAGTTATTTTGAATACTTCTAATAGATTAGGGCTTTACACACTAAAGTTCATCAACATCATTCAGCACTCTAATCGTTTAAGGTCCTCGGCTGCAGGTATTGTTTCTGATTCTTATATCTTTATCTAGTTACTTTTACAAGCCCGGATCTGTTGTATATTGTGTATCCATTCAATCAGTGGTGTGTCTTTTGTTTTTTATTGCCATTATTATTATTATTATTATTATTATTATTATTATTATTATTATTATTATTTGCTAAATCGTGTTTTAATGTATTATCTTTCATTCTTTTGATCTCCCACAGTCAGGCATATTTTTTTGTTGGATTTGAATATTCTTGCAAGAAAGTCTTTGTGCAGATGGCGTAATTTGCTGTTTGAATCATCTTTAGGCTACACTCTACGCTCTTCGCTCTTATTTATTTATTGGAACAAGGCATTCTATCGTGCATTTCGAGGCGGAAAGATTGCTTTTTGCAGAAGAACTTTCAAGTACTGTAAGACCCCGCTTAACGCTGATTCGAAAAGAAGCTCAAAATTTACGCCGATTCAAATTATCGCGGCATTTTGTTGATTCGTTTATACTACGGTTATTCGCGAACACAAAACCAATCAGCAAAACGTGGCAATTCGTTTTAGCCTAAACCTATGTTTGGTGCAATATTCGAAAAAATATAACATCATGGATGCCATTGGCAATATCGACTTCGCGTGGCAAGAATTAAGAAAAAAAAAATGAATGAACGAAGTGTGGAAGACGTTATGGCTGATGGCATCCAAGAATTCTCAACAAGAAATGCCTATCGCTGAATTGTTTGATTGACCAAATTGTCAACCTAATCAATACAGCAGACGAGCAGGATTGAGGAGTTACTGCAGGTTTCTGGTGAGAGCCAAGGAACTTTACATTTCTGTGTGCATATGTTTATGTTTTATTTAACATATATTATTATGCAAATTAATATAAAAATAACTTAAAATGAAAGTAAAATCTATTTATGTTTGGTCGCGTGTTTCCCTTTTCCTATTTACTATATGTTAAAATGACCTCGTTTAACGCTGTTTCGTTTAGTGCTTTGTCATCTAGGACAGTGTTCCGCAACCAGTGTGCCGCGGCACACTGATGTACCGTCACAACGTGAAAGGTGTGACGTGAACTTTTACATTATTATATTAATTTCAGGCTTTATTTATATATTTTCATCACAGATGTTGTGTTTCTTATGCTTCTATTTCATTCACTGATGAAATAAGATGATGTTAAAGCAATAAAAACACATATGTCATCCCAGTACTCACTTATTTTTTTGGAGTTATATAATGGACTCACACAGATCTTGAGCAACTCCAAATGAAAACAAGAACAACACTTACTAAGCATGAACAACATCATCCTAAATCCGCCATAGAAAGATTAATCCTTTCACCTAAAAATGGCGGACATGGCCTGATCGACATAGTTAACCTACACTACAAACAAATACAGACATTGAGAGAGTTTTTCTACAAAAAACAAGAAACATCACAGTTATATAAAGCAGTAATTCTAGCAGACTCAAATAATACACTATTAAATTTACATTCGCAACGTATGGACACAACACAACATATAAATAGCACAGACACCATTAATTTAATTAAGCAATCATGGGTGGGAAAGGTACTCCATGGCAGACATCCCTATGACCTGGCCCAGAATTTAGTTGACAAAACTGTGTCAAATACTAAAAACTACAGAAAACACATACTCAAAGATACAACACTCACAAATGACACATGCAGAAAATATCACATTATGCCAGAAACTATACAACACATCACTTCTGGTTGCAAGCTCTTGGCAAAGACAGATTCATTTACACAGACATAATCAAGTAGCAAATATAATACACCAAGAGCTTGCAAAGAAACACAAATTATTAAACATCCACGAACCATACTACAAATACGTTCAACAGACAGTATTGGAAAACAACACGCACAAAATGTATTACAACAGCCATAATCACAGATAAAACAATTTATCACAACAGACAAGACATCACACTCATTGACAAACACAATAAAATCATATACATTATAGACATATCTGTTCCAAACACTGTATAAAACATATGCAGTGAAAAATTCAGCAAGTACACAGAACTCGCCCAGGAACTAAAGCATCTATGGAGGATGGATAGAGTGCTTATTGTACTTGTCGTTCTCTCCTCTAAAGGTGTCATACCAGACACGCTACACAAAAGCCTGGGAACATTAACATTGAATAGAAACACACATCACACGACAGAAGGCCACTATATGAATGTCATATTATTAGAAAATTCTTGAATACAGACACACACTGACACACTTATTTAATTTTTGTCTTGTTTTGGTTACTATGCCTTGACTCTGGTCCGGCATAGTACACAGCCATCGGTGTCAACCGAGTATAACTCAAAAAACTCAACATAATAATAATAATAGGTTTATGGCATTACGAAATTCCACTAATAGTATCATATCATATGTTTTTGAGGGGAATAACATTTTGGTGTGCCGCGAGTAGAAAAAGGTTGCGGAACACTGATCTAGGAACACATCCCCCGCGTTAAACTGGTTCTTATTGTACTATCATTCACCCACTGCGGATGAACTTTTGATCTGTTCTTTTTGTTACATTTCTTACTCAATACTTAATCCGTTGATTATTTAATTTTTTGATGAATATATTTTTCAAGATTGAAATTCTGAGTAAAATTATTTTTTTGTAGCAATTCGGTCATAATCAAAACTTTTATTTTCCATAGTCGTAGTGCATTTAAATTAACTAATTCACTATACTTTTGGTTAAATGTTACTTTAATATTCATTTTGGTGGAAAGTATTTATTGTTCTCTACACAAAAATTTCTTAAATATTAAATTTATAAATATGCTGTGAGGATAAATACAACAGGACTACGTGGATAGAAAATGTTAGTGAAATAAATAAAAAAAACCCTGTACCAAATATAAGTATATTTTATTGAATATAAACATACATAGATATGTTTTAGTATTTCTATATTTTTAAATGAATATAGTACATAAATTTTTGCCATGAAATATCTTCTAATATGTTGATGAATAAATAAAACTGAATTTTATTGAATATAAACCTATAAAAAGATGTTTTGTATGTTTAATTTTAGAATCTGTCAGAGCAATTTCTAAATCTGCTGCATGTTTTTTTTCTTTTTTTCTTCTTTTTCCATATTTTGAACCCTTTCCAAAAACCCAAATAAATCATTATGATTTTTTAATTGTTCAAAACGATCTTCTAAAGATACTGTAGCTTTATTTAAAACTAAATCGAAAAAAAAGATATCTTGAACGCTTTTAAAGGAATTTATAATAGGTTCATCATCGCCTTCATAATTTAAATGTTTCTTTCTTTTCCGGAGCCTTTTATTTTGAAATTCCGGAGATATTTCTAAGTCTTCTGCGAGTGCTTTTGCCTGAACTAAAATTTGTTCAAATCCAGTGTTTCTGTATTTGGTCAGCCAACTTAAAAGTTTTTCAAATGAAGAAAGTGCTGTTGATATGTCTACTGAATTACTTTGAAGTTCCTTGCTTCAAAATTTACTTGAAAAAGTAAATCATGCCAAAAAAACCAGACACTAAAAATTTATAATCCGTCATTAAATTTTCAAGTGATTCTGCTTCACTTTTGACTTGTGGATCTTCGGAGATTTCTGAGATTTCGAAAAGTGCATCGTAAAATTCGCCTATTTGGTATCTTACTGTCTTAACTCTTTGAATTTGACATTCCCACCTGGTATCACAAAGTAGCTTCACAGTAAGTTCTTTCACACATTTGAGAAGCACTAACTATGTTTTTGGAGATGCCGAGAATAAAACATACAGGCGTTGAAGAATACCAAAAAAGGTTAAAGCTTCTGGGCAAATTTTGGCTATATCTCTCAATAGGAGATTATAATTATGACAAACGCAAGTTGTCAAAAACACTCTTGAATTTTCCTTTAGGAGTATAGCCTGAACTCCCGAAACTTTTCCCTTCACGTTAGAACTATTGTCATAGCCATGCCCTCGGATGTTATTAATGTTCAGTTCCAAAGATTTAATTTCTTGCGTCAACACAGAAAATAGATTTTCGCCTGTACTACTCTCTACATTTATAAATTTAATAAACTGTTTGTATACACTGATACTTGAACCTGGTAATGTACCATTTGAAACATATATGAGGTTAAGAGACATTTATTCTTGAACCATAGAAAATAATCTTTCAAATATTTTATATAAACGAATTTTTTCTTGGCTGAACGACTTCTGTAGCTCTTTATCGATTGTTTGTTCAGCAGAAAGTCCTTTTTAAAGATCTGTACAAAATTTTTAGCATAGTTACAAATTGACCTTTCGATTTGTTGGGCTAGTCCTGTATGTATATTTGTCCAGTTATTAAATCCTGAAGAAGCTAATGCAATTAGGACACCCACTCTGAACAGACGACAATAGAAACAAAATGAACGGACTATTATTTGGCCAATTAAAAGAAAATGAGCAATTATTCATTGTGACATTGTCACAATGCCAGGTTGCAATTTTTAATATTTTTAGTCTATTTACTTTCGAATATATGGTCTTCATCTCAAATTAGTACCGTAGTGTCTTGCCGGTGTACATAATACTCTTCATTTAATAATAAAGTCGTGCCGGTCATTCATCTAACATCTTTTAAGAGAAAATTATTGAATTGAAATATCGTGGCTTTCAATTTGCATCGGAAGTTCGTATAAATTTAATCGGGAGAGGTTTTCGGCGCCTCCCGACTAACTTTATATAATCTACAATTTTTTATAGGTATACTCTTGCAAATATCCATTAATAGCAGCCCAATTAATAAATATTTGCAATAGACAATTAGCTGTATCTACCTTTAATAGTATACGAGTTTTAGATTAAAATAATATAAAAACCATTAAAAGTACCATTACAAAAAATTATTAAGCGCTTTCAAAGTACTTATTTTTAACATATCTCAACAGATCATTACATTTTTAATTAATTAATGCGTGTACTATGACATTGTTAAATTCGGTTGTTAATGAGTTGACTCCTACTTTTATGATCTTTTTGAAGATTTTAGTTCAAATATTGAGTGTTTACAAAATAATAACCGTTATTTAAATTGTTATTGTTCAATCAGATAGCAGATGACATGATTTTTCCAATTTTTTTTCTATTCTGTTAATTAATACAAGCTTAATTTATTAAAAATATAATATTTATAAAATAATGTCTCATTTTCCCATCTAGGCTGTTATATGTACATAACAAGGGAACGTATTGGAATCGATACAAATTTGACTCTTCAATCGATTTCAGACATATTGCCTACTACTGTATACAGATGATACATTGCTTGTGTCTCTCCGTTCTTAGATTTTTAGTGGATCTGCGCCAAAGTTTTGTACTTATTCTATGGAGGAAAGTACAGACTATTATGAAAACCTGAACACTTTACCTTTATTCTTATTTTATTTCTCCTCATTCACTTCTAAACCCTTTGCCCAATCTGCACCAAATTTTTCATACTTATTCCTTGGAACACTGAGGAAAATCTGCGAGCTATCACATGACTGTCAGACGAATATAAAATTATCATTAAGTTGTTGATGACTGAAAAATACTGTACTTGAAATCTTATTTTTAAAAATTAGTGAAAACAGGTTAAAAATGCTCAGCAAAAACTCAACATGTGAATAAAGACTCAACATGTGAATAAAGTACACTTTAGAGTCTTACTGCCAAATCTGCTGCCGGTATTCTTATACCACTACTTTCGAAAGTTTTCTTTATTTAGATCAGTGTTTTTCAACCTTCTTGAATACGCGACCCCTTTACAAGTTAAAAAATTCTGGCGACCCCCCTAGGGCCATATTAAAACTATATCAGTGATTTTAAAAACTATGTATTTAATTTTCTTTCTGTTGAGACAAATTATTGTTGATTAAAATGAAAATTTCAGAAGAATCGACAATAACTTAACCTACATAAAGTATGAAACTTTCTTTAATTATAACATTGGGCACAGGGAGCTGTTGACTTTTTTTCTTTTTTTAGGATTACAATTTTCAGCTTCTACTTTTTTACTTTTTATTTCTTTTTGCAAATCAGCTCAACACTTTTTCGGCTATCATTTTCTGGGATGGACCGTAATTCTCGCTGAAATTGTAGTTTTTTTAATGTAGTGTAGGACCTACAAACACTTGTCTTTTTCTTTTACCCGCGACCCCCGTGTAAGGCTTCGCGACCCCCCTGGGGGTCGCGACCCACAGGTTGAAAAACACTGATTTAGATGTTTCTGCTGAGCTTTTTCAACCTGCTTTCACAGTTTTTTATAGGATGTGTATACGAATCCATCTTAAATTTTCGTTCATATTTACTAATAAAGCCATTTTATGGATCTAAGAAACATAATAAAAATACTTTAAATTAAGTTAATTGTATACAAATTACACGTAATAAATTATAATTAAGAATAAAACATTAAAAAAGTGAAAAGTACTTAGAAACATTAAAAATTAATCTCAAAAATTTACACGAAAGTCAGCCATTGCCACGGCATCAAATGCTATTGATAATGGCCGTCAAGAACAAAATATGACGCTGATGTCTATTTTGTAGAAAAAAATCGAACAAATTTTAGCTTATGTTAATATTTATAAAATTTTATTAAGATTCTTTATGCATATTAAACTCCATTAATTATACACTATTAAAATTCCGCTTTATATTTATTAGTGTTTATAAATAAAGTCTAACTCGTTTGTTATTGATATAACGAAATAAAACTGAAGTTTTTGCAGGTATCGGCATCGACGACTCATTTGTACTTTTATCTGCTTGGAGACGTACAGACAGCAACGATGAAGTGAAGAAAAGAATGAGCGACTCTTACTCTGAAGCTGCAGTTTCTATTTCTATAACATCGCTAACTAATATTCTTTCGTTTTGTACGTGCCTTACCATTCCTTATAGAGTTGTACAGATATTTGGTACATATGGTGCAGTGTCATTAGTCTTCGATTACATCTATCAAATATTTTTCTTCGGTGGAATTATGGCTCTGGAAGGTTACAGAGAAAAACGAAATCTTCATCCGTTATTTCTATTTCCACTTAAACCAATCATTTCAGGTAAGAAAATGCGGAAAATTTAACGAAAATACTGAATTGCTTTGTTTTCATATGTTTTTCAAAGACATTTTACGTTTTTCAGATGCAAACGAAAGAAATTCACAAGTATTATACATCATGGTATTCTTGCGAGATGTTGCAGGGAAATATTTACAAAAACTCTACATTAAGATATTATTAGCTGTAATATATACTTGCTATTTAGCAGGGGGAATTTATTGCATAAATTACATTAAACAGGGACTAGATTACAAGAAAATATTTCCGTATACCTCATATGCTGTTCCTTTTATACTTGATCATTATGAATATTTCACACTTCACCCGCACAGAATACAAATTGTTATTAATCAGACTTTAGATTATTCCGATGTACAAACTCAAAAAGATGTCGAGAGCCTTCTAAATACTTTCGAAACTGCTCCGTTTATCAGTGGTTATCTTACAACTGAATGCTGGCTGAGAGAATATTTATCTTTTAGCAAAATTCCACTTTATGAAATGCTCTTCAAAGGATATAACTTGAACGATTCCTATGAATTTTTGGATGGAATGAAAAATGTGTTTTTAAATGTAAGAAGTTTCCGCAGATTTCGAAACGATGTCGTTCTTAACACTGAAGGAGATCGAATTTTAGCGTCCAGATGTTATATTCTTAGTTATAATATAAAAAACGCCAGTGCAGAAACGACAATGATGGAAACAGTTCGTAAAATAGCGGATGATAGTAAATTTAAAGTATACGTACATGACCCATGGTTTGTTTATTATGACCAATACTTAAATGTAACAACAACTTGCATTCAGACAGTATGCCTTTCCGCATTATTGATATCCCTAGTACTTGTCTTATTCATACCAAATTTTACATGTACTATATGTGTCATTTTAACTGTAGTCTCCATAGAGGTGTGTATAGTTGGATACATGTCTCTTTGGAACGTTAATGTTGACACTATTTCCATGATCATTCTAGTTATGAGTGCGGGATTTTGTGTAGATTATTCCGCTCACATCACGTACGCTTACATAAGTAGCGAAGAAAGTGACCCTGCGGGTAAGATGAGATACGCATTATACGCAGCGGGTTATCCAATAATTCAAGGATGTGCTTCGACAATTCTAGGTGTATCGGTTCTGTATTTCGGTTGTAGTTACTTGTTTGTTATATTTTTCAAAATTTTGCTTCTAACAATGACATTTTCTGCATTCCACGGCTTAATTTTGTTGCCAGTAATTCTTAGCACTGGAGATTCTATAGCGCTTTCTTGGAAAAATAAAAGGAATAGAAAAAACTTTCGTATAATAAAGCATAAAGACAATAATTTGACAAATAATAATGATCAAAAAGACGTTGAATCATCTTTTATTGAGGAATAATTAATATTTATTTTATCACATTTATAGCTTTCGTAGATAATGAGATAAATTATTTAATTTTAATTATTTCTTATTGTTCAAAAGTCTTGTTGAGTGTTTTTGTGCAGCTAGCAAGTTTTACAATGCAATACAAGCTTTTTAGGCTACCTGTTGTTCACACGAACACTATGTGACCATCATATGCAATCCCTTTTGTTTCAGTGAACAACGTTCTAGAGTGGATTTAGAGTGCAACCAGTAAGGTCAAAATTTAAACAGACATTAGTTTTATATTTATTTTATGGAAGATACAATTATTTGCACAAATTAATATATTTTTATAAACTGTANACATATCTTTTTACATTTTTAAAAATTAAATATTAGTCGCATCCAGTTCATGGAATAGTATAGCAATTGTAACAAAAGTTATATTCAATTAATATTAAATTTATAATTGTTCTATTATTATTTTTGCTTTATTGATATTCTAGCAGATAATCCCGGCGTTGCTCGGGCAAAAAGTAACGATAGCGAAGATAAGGATTGTTAGATCATAGCCGTTCTTAGGTGTATACACTAAGTGCAAAAATTAGGTCTCTCTCTTTCGAGACTAGTTAGAGAATTTTTAGATGAGCCTAACAATATGTTCCATTCTCTGCAAAAACGCAAAATACCGCATTTAAAATATCACAATAGAAGCAGAGTTTTTCAAAGTAATCGTTAACCCCTCTCTTTCTCCCCCGTGGAGGAATTTCGAAAAATCTCTTTTTAGTGTACATTCTCATGACGTATCCTAACTGTATACCAAATTTCAACTTTGAACTCCTAACCGTTTACGCTCTGCTCTTATTATTATTATGTTGGGTTTTGTGAGTTATATTCTGTTGACACTAGTCGCTGTGTACTATGCCTGATCAGAGTCATTGTAACCAAAACAAAATAAAAAATTAAAGAACTATGTCATTGTGTGTGTGTTTGCATTTAGGAATTTCCTAACAATATGACATGTATTTAATATAGTGGCTTTCTGTAGTATGATGTATGTTCTATTCAATTTCAATATTCCCAGGCTTTTGTGTAGCGTGGTGTGGTATGACACCTATACAGGAGAGAACGACAGGTACAGTACAATAAGCACCATATCCATCCTCCACGGATTTCTTATTTCCCGGGCGATTTCTCTGTACTTGCTGATTTTTCAGTGAATGTGTTTTGTACATTGTGAGTGTTTGGAATGGCTATGTCTATAATGTATGTGATTTTATTGTGTTTGTCAATGAGTGTGATGTCTGGTCTATTGTGGTAAATTGTTTTATCTGTGATTATATCTTCTTTCGTAATACATTTTGCGCGTGTTGTTTTCCAATAATGTTTGTGGAATGTATTTGTAGTATGGTTCGTGGATGTTTAATAATTTATAGAGAGATTGCGGCCGACGTTTTCATCGCGAAAACGTGTACGCCGGACGTTCAGAGCCGCCTTCCTGTAAGCCTAGAAGTTTGACAATGGCGTTTGAAACGTCGCGCATGATCTCACTGGCGTTCCAAACGCCATTGTCAAACTTCTAGGCTTACAGGAAGGCGGCGCTGAACGTCCGACGTACACGTTTTCGCGATGAAAACGTCGGCCGCAACCTCTCTTATGTTTCTTTGCAAGCTCTTGGTGTATTATATTTGCTACTTGATTATGTCTGTGTAAATAAATCTGTCTGTGCCAAGAGCTTGCAACCAGAAGTGATGTGTTGTATAGTTTCTGGCATGATGTGACATTTTTTGCATGTGTCATTTGTGAGTGTTGTATCTTTGAGTATGTGTTTTCTGTAGTTTTTAGTATTTGACGCAGTTTTGTCAACTAAATTCTGGGCCAGGTCATAAGGAGTCTGCCATGGAGTGTCTTTCGAGCCCACTACTGCTTAAATAGTGTCTATACATTTTATATGTTGTGTTGTGTCCGTATGATGTGAGTGTAAGTTTGATGATGTGTTATTTCAGTCTGCTAGAGTTATTGTTTTATGTAACCGTGATGTTTCTTGTTTTTTTGTAGAAAAACTCTCGCAGTGTCTGTATTTGTTTGTAGTTAAGGTTAACTATGTTAATCAAGCCACATCCGCCATTTTTACGTGAAAGTGTTAATCTATCTATGGAAGATTTAGGATGATGTTGTTTATGCTTAGTAAGTGTTGTTCTTGTTTTCATTTGGAGTTGCTCGAGATCTGTGAGTCCAATGTATAACTCCAAAAGAATATGTGAGTACTGGGATGACATATGTGTTTATTGCTTTAACTGTGTTTTGCATTTAACTGTTTTCTGATGATAGCGTTTAACCTACTTTGGTATTCTTTAATTAATCTTTGCTTTATTTGTGTATGTTCTGTTAGTTTGGCCTGTTAGAATTCTAAATACTTGTAGAAATCACCATCTTCCATGGATTCAATAACGTTTCTATTTCCAAGTGCAAAATCTTTTTTCTTCGGGATTCGTTTTTCTATGCGAAGTTTTTTGCATTTGTCTAAGCCAAACTCCATTTGTAGGTCCTTAGTGTATGAATGTGTGATTTGTAGGAGTTGATGGAGTTGTTTCTGTGTGGATGCATAAAGTTTTATGTCATCCATGTACATGAGATGGGGCAGCATAAACTGTGTTGTTTTTATCATGTCTGATATTGTAGCCATATTGCGTGTTGTTTAACATGTTGGATAATGGATTCAGGGCTAGGCAGAACCAGAGAGGACTCAAGGAATCTCCTTGAAAAATTCCTCGCCTAATGAATATTTCGTTTGTTTGTATGGAAGTGTTACTAACCCTGAGATGTAGTGTTGTTCTCCAGTGCTGCATAGTGTTTTGGAAGAAAGTAATAAGTGATGGATGTGTAGAATATGTAGTATACATGTGTAGAATATATAGAATGTGATAAATGTGTAAAATATGTAGCAGCCAACTGTGTGGAACACTGTCGAATGCTTTTCTGTAGTCTATATATGCCATGTGTATGTTTCTGTGTTGTTTGTGTGCTTGCCGTAGAATGACTGAATCTATGAGTAACTGTTCTTTGCATCCCCTGTGATTTCTACGGCAACTTATTTTGTTGTTTCGGAAGAATGTTGTGTTTTTTAACATGTTTGTATATTTTACTTGTGATACAGGATGTCAATAATTCGTAGTGTTGGAAGACATGTAATTGGTCTGTATTGTGAAGTCTGTGGTATTGTTTTCTTTAGGTTTCATATAGGTAGTGCCCTGAGTAAGAAATTTTGGCATGTCTTGTGGATTGACGATGACGTGTGTTAGGTGTTTAGCTAGTTTCTGGTGCAATGATGTAAACATTTTGTACCAAAAATTATGAATGTTATCTACACCAGGGGTCTTCCAGTTGTGTGTTCTGTTAACAGCGTAGTGAATATTGTGTATGTTTACTTCAGCACAGGGCATAGTTGGTATGTTGTGCAAGTTATTGCAAGTTATTGTTTTCCTCCTCTATCGATCTAGCCTGCATCAGTGTTGTATGTAACAACATTGGACCAAAGAAACCTATAAGTTGCGAGTTTTTTTTTTTTTGTTGGTGTGCCACAGTGCTGTGTATCAGTGTTTGTTTTGGTATTAATTTGTCTGTAAAAGAGTTTTTCATTGTTTGTGAATAATTTATTTTGTTGTTTTCGTAGTGTACATGTTTTGTATCGTTTGAGTCCACGTGCTTTGGCTGCGAGTTTTTGTTTTAGTGTATCGATGTATTCTGTAATGTGTGTGTTGTGATGTTCATGTTTTGTGTGTGTTTTAATTTTCTTGAAAATGTTTTTGAGTTGTTTCTTTAATTTGGATGTTATGTTGCTTTTAGTATATTGTGTCAGCCTGGCTAATTGCTGTCTAATGTCATTTATTTGTGTTTCTATTCTTTTCTGCCAGGAGGCTTGTGATAGAATTGTGTTTTGTGTGTATCTGTTTGCGATTGTATTTTCAGTCTATGGTGCCAGTCACTACTGTGACTGCCCCAGCATAAACTAATGTATGAATGTCTGAGAGTATAGAAATTGAATGAATGTAGTTTGGTAGTAAGTGAGTGTTTACATAATTTAGTGTTTTTCCTACTTTCTTTGACGTGTTGATTTTTTGTATTCGTGGTCTTTGTGTGAGATCTGTACCTGTATATTTAGTGAGTGTTTTCTGAAGTATAAGTAAGAGCGTATTAACTAAATCTATGTCTATGTTATCAGTGGTGGATGAGGAATTGCATATAGTATTACTAGTGGTAGTTGTTGTGTGTGTGTGCTATAATCAGTGCTTGTTGCTGGATTATCCTGTCAGGTTACGTGATCTTCATTAATGTTAAATGTTTCTGTCTGATGATGTATTTAATCAGCGACCTATTTTTTGATAAGTTCGAGTGTTGTTTGTGGGAAGGTTGTGTATAATTGTTCTTTTTTGATCAACAACACTTTGTTCGGTGATATTGAGGTGAGGATATTGTTGTGTGAATCTATGGTGTAGTTGTTGTTTGTATGCTGTCATGTTTGTTTCGAGTCTTGTGATGGAGTAATAAGTACGAATGATAAACTCATTCATTTTTATTGTCCATTTCATCCGTTGATGCGATTTTCCAGCCTTTGTGGTCTGTGGATGCATTGCCACAGAAACACTAAGACTAGGTTGGTTCCTCACATCTGTTGAGAGCATTGCAGTAGCCATGCTTGGGCCAGCGCTGCTTTCGCCACCGGTAACCAAGGGAGACTGTGGCCTATTTTTCGAACGTGAGTCTCTGCCTAACCCACGAACGATGACCTTGTTTACCTTGCCGACGTCCGAGCCGGTATCACACTTTGATCTGGTTACTACCATAATAAATATCTCCACAGAATATGAGTATGGTCACTCAGCTTTATTTTTCCTCATAGACCTTACTGGCATTGGTACTTACTAGGAGCTTGCGCTTGTGTAATTAAGATAATCTTATTCAACACTGTCTATAGGGAGAAATATAGTCCAAATGCAACCAAATTTGTTACAGTGGCATATAAGGACATGCAG